GTCGAGCTGTGCAGGGTAGTTGCAGACACACCATCTTCAATTCACGACTCCTTTTAGTGCTTCTGTAGCTGATCATGCTTGGTGACACTTACTGAGGCACACCAGGCTCTGTGCGCAGCACTTTCACCCTCCAGCAGCCTACCGGCTACTTCACTGTTGTTATCCTCATCTTACCAAGGAGGAGACAGGCACAGAGGGCTGAGTCACTGCCAGAGTAGTCCCAGCTGGTAAGAGGTGGCCTTAGGGTCCATGGCCTGTGCTTTTGTAGGAAAGGAAACTCACAAAATTATTGTTAGAATTCAGAGTTTTAAAGTGAATTAGTTTTGTTTTTATTTTGGGCAGAGGTGAGGTAGGGTATAGAATTTCACTAAAATGCTCTGGAAACTGTTTATACTTTGTAGACAATATTCTGCAAATTTAGAACTGAACTGGAGGACTACCATTTATGTGAAGTTCATGCACAACTATTCCTGCCATTCCTGAGTTTCTTTAGGTGATACTGGTTAACACTCTGGAACTTCTTTTTTCTTAGCAGCAAAGTTTGGTAAATTTGCCGGCAAAGATGATGGCTCTAGTTTTAAGGCAGCATTGCTCTCAGGCCCTCCAGGCGTTGGCAAAACCACCACAGCTTCTCTGGTGTGTCAGGTGGGTGCTCTGTCCTAGTGCAGTTGGAAAGATCATCAGAGTGGTCGTGTGTAGAGATAAGTGCTTGGGTGTGAGTGAGTGTGTGTGTAGTGTGTATATATAAACCTGCTGTGCGTATTGTTCTAAAAATCAAACCTTTAGAATTTGCTTTGTTTCTGGTGATATTTGTCATTTTCATCCTTTTTAAATATTGGTAATTATAATAATAGGTAATATTAACTGTGAACCAGGCAGTGTGCTAAGCACTTGGATGCATTATCTTATAGAGAATATAAGTACGTATTATATACCCTGAAAGACACAAATATCTTCTATACCCTTGTAATAATTTTGTGTGCTGAATTCTGCATAGTAAATATTTGTACCGTTAATATCCTCATGTGGCAAATGAAATAGGTTTAGAGAAGAGTGTGGTGGCCCAGTTTGAGCCCAGGTAGTCCTGCTCAGGGTTTCCGCCCTTCACCATCATGTGGTACTTATTGTCTTTCTTCTTCTTATCCCTGTCTCTGATGGATCTCTAGACAATGAGGGACTTAATTTAACTAGAACAAACCAGAATTCACATGTTGGTATCAGAATGGTAAGATAAGGGATTATAAATTTATTGCTAGATTTCCCAATCCTCTGTTGCTAAGCTAGTGGTTTCTTTTGGTCTTTGCTATATGACCAGAGCTAAAATTTAAATACAAATTTTTATATATTTTTCACTCTTTTTATAAACATCAAAAAAATCAGTTTTTTTTCTATTTCCTACAATTGTGAATATGACATTTTCTACCTCTATTATTATCATTACTTTTTTGGGAATTAAGGCATTTTTAGCTTATCAGTTTTGGGAAACGAGTCAGAATAACTTGAATTTTTCTTGATTTGAGAGGAAAATTGTATATTGGGATAGTTAGACAAAGAGTGATTTAACTTTATAATTTATCTTGAAGAGGCAAGAATTACTTTTTGGTATCTTATAATAGATTAATTCTATACCTAATATTGAATTCTTGGGGTGATTTTATTTATTTCTTTTTAGGACTTTAAGAAGAAAACTTAGGTGTGTTTATATGTGTGTGCTATATGTATGTATATGATATTCTTAAAATTTCTAATATCGGCATATTATATTTAACCTTGTTGTCTGCTAGTATCATACTTTATATTTTTACCTAGGGTTCTTTATGTGATTTTTATACTCTTTCTTCCTTAACTGGCCTTTTTTGTCAGGAGGAGTTAATTTGCATTGTGATAGTAATGATTTTCAATATTTTGATTAGGAATTGGGATATAGCTATGTGGAACTAAATGCAAGTGACACTCGGAGTAAGAACAGTTTAAAGGCAATTGTTGCTGAATCACTGAATAATACCAGCATCAAAGGCTTTTATTCAAGTATGTGGCTTTTTGAACTTTTTGTTGTCATTGTGTAAGAAAGACAAGTTCATTTCAATATTCAGTAACCAGTATTGAACACTGCTATGTGCCAAGCACCCTGCTAAATCATGGGGTTAGCAAAGAGAATAAGAAAGGCCTCTGACTTAACTTTTATGGGGCAATAGTTACCCTTTTTTTCTGAGATTGTGATAAAAATGTATATATGTACATATTTATGCACTTTGCATGATTTTAGAGGATTCACAGGTGAGTCCTGTTAAGAAGGAAAGAAAATAACTGTAGTTCAGTGTGTAAGGCAGGCAATAATGCTTGTACATGAAGAAGTAATTGTGCTTGGGGCATTAGGACAAGTTATAGGTAAAAGGGTGATATTTGTTTGAAAGGCCTTGAAGATTGAGAAGGGTAGAATGTGGAGGAAGAAGAGGTCATCAAAGGTAGTTGAAGAAAAGAAAAGACAGTGTGAAAGCGCCCATTGTGTTTCAGGTTGTAGTTAGTGGGCCTCTGTATGTCCAGAGATCATGGGGAAAATAAGATGTCCA